CAGAGAAGATGTTTGGCAAAATCCTAAATCTATTTCATTGTTTCTACATACTATAAATAGAAGGGGACTGCATCCACCTGATAAAGGGTAACTTTGAAAAAGCCAAAGGTAACATTATACTTAATATGGACAAGCATTGCTTTTACCCCAATATTTGAAACAATGTAAGGATGTCTGTTCTCACCACTTCCATTCAACTTTGTACTGGTGGCACAAGCAGCTGAAGTAAAGCTGAAAAAAAGAATAAAAATATACAGATTAGAAATAATGGGGTAAAACTTTATTTATTTACACATTATCTGATATTCAATACAAAGTTAAAAGAGATCTATAAAAAGTCACAAAAGTAAAACATTTATTTGTTTATCAAGGTTGTAGAACACAAGAACAATACACAAAAATCAATTCTACTTCTATATATACCACTAATAAATGATCTATTATTGACATTAAAATCAATATCATTGCCAAATTGGTGGATGGTTAGGGACTAGAGACACGAGCTTTCAGATGTCTGTGAAGAAAGGAAAAAAAAAAGAAAAAAGAAAAAGTCCTAATAAGCAATGATAGAACAGGTGTATTTCTGAGGGAAAAGTGACAGAGACTACAAGAGATTCTGTAGAAAGAAGTCACAGAGCAGAACAAGAGTAAGATTGACAAAGGACAAACCTGGAGAGACTTGTAGCAGAGCGAGAAGTGCAGGTGGAGCTGTTTTCTTCTTCTTCCCCTGCATCTCTGACAGCCAGAGGACACTCAAGCTGCTGAAGAGAATTTCTGCACACATAAGCCCGGAGGATTCTGCCACCAGTGAGCCAGGAAATGCTGTAGACAGGGCACCAGGCTCTCCTCTCAGAAAGCACTTCCCACCCCCACAGACCCAAGCTAGGACAGCAGGCACCATATTGCTCCTCCACCCATCATGCATGCAATTTTGTTCTTCCCAGGGAGTTTTCAACTCTTTGGGCTTTTCCCTGCTCATTTACACAGATATTTCACAACTCTAGCCATGACTGCAGGATTCACAGTGGATTCAGCTGGTCCCAGATGATTTCTGTGACTCAGATGATTTCTGTGACTCTAATGTCAGAAATGCCTTTCTGACATTAAGGGCAGATCCCCTCTTGACCAATCTTCACTTTCCCATACAGACTTTTCTCTGCCTGCCCCCCACCCCTACCCCAACCCCCACCTCAGCAGCCACAATACCGAAGTTTCCACAGAATGTGAAACTGAAACCTTTCCTCTATGGGTCCTGCAGCATATGGTGGCGTCCTCAGACTTTGACTCCCTCTTACTGGCTCTCCCTGGTGCTGCCTGCCTGGAGTTCCCATTGGAGCCAGGCATACCTTGAAACAGTAAGATATTGAACTTGCCTGGAAACCCTGTGTGCCACTCAAGAAAAGTATGCCTGTCTCTGGAATAGTCTGATATTGACCTACTTCACCTTATTCACCCACTCAGGGCTGCACATGAACCATATTTTCTGGGCCTAAGCACGTTCATATCAGCCAAGTATCCCACCTAAGCTGCCACTTCCAAGGCAGAGTCCACACCCAAAACAAGACTGCATTCCTAAACAAGGGAAGTTTTAAAATTCACTTCTGTTCACAGGCCCCTGATGCCACACGGTTTTGACATATTTTGGAAATACATTCCATATCCTCAAACCCTCCTGTCCACAGGGTAGGAAAATTTGCCTATAACCCCCTAGAACAGAAAGCCCAAAGGGCCTACTCACTCCACTTCACCAGAGGCTTTATTTCCCTTCTTTTCTTATCTATCAGTAAAATATATCCTTTCCTTCATTTATGGTGTTCCCTTGATTCATTTTTTGAATATCTTGGACCAAGGACCCAGCAGAGAGACAGATTTCAGTTCCACTTGGTCTAAGGGAGCCTATGTGGGCAGAGTGTATTGTGGGTACTAGCTGTTTGTACTAACAGGCCCCCTTTCCCTGGTAGGATGGCTGCATTATAAACTCAGGCTGGGATCCCAAACTGAGAATTTCCTGGCCCATAGCACAGACACAGGGGAGGAACACTGCTGGCCTGAGATTCAGCCTTCCAGAAGTTGCTAGAGCAGAGGGTCAGGAGAAGACTGTAGCCCACTGAGGGTTTCCACATTGTGATTCTCTGTCTCCATAAACAGACTCTCTGGCTGGGTGAGGTGACTCAGCCAGAAACTGGAAGCAGACCTCTGACTCCCACCACAACAGTTAACTGGTCAGTTTCTGTGGATTCTGAGGGAAAACTCACCCAACCCAATCCCTCCCAGCTTCAGGGATTCCCAATCCTTCCCCATCCACCTCAGCTGGGGCAGGGCTTAAGGACTCAGCTGGAACCTCTAGGGCATTCAGGTGCTTTTGCTTGTGCACTAAGGGATGGAAGCCAGTTCAGGAACCCCCCAAAACAAACAAACAAACAAACAACAACAAAAAAAAAAAAAACACTGCAGCTTGCTCCTTCCCACAAATGCCACCTACTGACATGGAGACTCAGGCAACATAGCCACAAACTGTCTTGCCAGTGCCACCCATTTGGGTGATGGTGGACATCAAGAACCCTCCTGTTCTCTCCTAAAGTTTGGTACACTCTTAGTACTCCACTTAAGGGACCAGAGACTACCTTAGACACAAATGAACATCTGGGCAGCTGGCTCAATCACATAGTCATCAATCAACTGGGAGAACAACGATACAGCCCTTCAAAGAATCTTCCAACTCAAGAAAACAAGGTGTGGCTGATTTACACTCACATTACCACTCTCCACCACTGAGAGTATACTGAGGAACCTAACTCAAAACACTCTGCCTGGAAAAGGTGAAGACAAAAGGTTAGAGGCAACCCGGGGGGTTCACTAAACCTGCTAGAGCAATTCATAGGCAACTCAGGACCAGTACTCTTCTCCCTGACAGTCAGGCACAAATGTTTAGAGTTTCAGAGACAAGCCCCAAAGTGAGCCACAACACCCTTGGCTCTTGATACAGAGGGCAGATGACATGAAACCAGTGGAAAAAATTCATGAAGTATGAAAAATCAAAGAAAATACTAACTCCTTACCAATGGATATCAGCCTAAATGAAAAAGTTAAAATGGCAGATAAATGGCAGTGCCTGTGGGTCAAGGAGTAGGGCGCTGGCCCCATATGTCAGAGGTGGCAGTTCAAACCCAGCTCTGGCCAAAAACTGCAAAAAAAAAAAAAAAATGCAGATAAAGAATTTTAAACATGGGTTATAATTCTGCTCATGGAACTACATGGTAAAATGAAATCCAATACAAGGAAGCAGCAAAGAGTGCAGGACATGGCAAAACAAAAATTGAAGTATTAAAGAAAAAACAAATAGAACCTCTAGAAATGAAATATCCATTCAAGAAATTACAAAGCACAGTGGAAAACTTAAGAGTATGCTTGGTCAGGCAGAGGAAATAATCTCAGAACTTGAAGACGATGCCTTTGTGCTAAACAAGCAACTCAAAGAGCAAAGAAACAGGAGGAATGTACAAAGCCTACAAGACGTGTGGGACTAAGTAAAGAGGCCAAATATAAGATTCAGAGGTATTCTCTTACACACTGTTGGTGGGACTGCAAACTATTTTAGCCTCTATGGAAGTTGCATGAAAATGTCTCAAAGAACCTAAAGTAGACCTACCATTTGATCCAGCAATCTCACTGCTCAGTATATAACCAGAGGAATAAAGGTCATTTTATAGAAAGGACACTTTGTCTATAGCATCACAGTTCACAATTGCAAAAATGTAGAAACAACCCAAGTGTTCAGCAATACATGAATGGATTAATAAAATGTGCTATATGCATACCAAGGAGTATCAGCTATAAAAACTGGTGAACTTTTGTGACCACCTGGATGGAACTAAAAGCCATTCTTCTAAGTGAAACATCATAAGACAGAAAAACAAACATATGTATGTACTCAATAACAATTTGGAACAAATTGATCAACACTTAAATGTCAATATGGAAATAAATCTCAATGAAAATCAAGTTGAGGGAGAGAGAAGAAAGGGATAGATAAATTTACACCTATAGTGTACAGTGCCTGCTATATGTGTTAAGGGCACACTTATAACTTAGACTAAATCTGTGCAAAAAATAAAATATGTAAACAAAATATTGCACCCCCCCAATATTCTAAAATAAAAAATCAATATTATTTGAAGTAGCATAAAAATATGAAGAACAGGAGGGATTTGACAGGCTGAAGAAAGATTACTGCGCTGCTAGCAAAGCATCTTTCTTCAGCCTGTTAAATCCCTCGAGGTGTAGCCTCCTGCCAAAGCTCTCCTTCTCCTCCCATTGGTCCTCCCATGAGCCTTCAGCCAATGGAGATGACGTGTACAGACAGACGTAGGCCCGAAGTCTCCAGGGAGGAGGAAGGACGTCAGGCCCTGTGACGCTCGGAGCGCGAGGACCGCTGCGTGAGGTGTGTGGAGAGGACCGCGTCGCCTCAGGTTCTTGCGGTGTCAATCGCCCATTGCTCGTGGGTGCCAGAGTGGGTGGCGATACAGGGACGCCAGGGGGTTCCTGCAAAGCTCCTGCAGCTAGAGGTGGTTGTGAGGGCGAGTACTGACTTCCAGCTTCCGGGTTCCCCACGCTCCATTCCCATAAACCTTCACGCACAAGGCTTTTCTTCAAAGGAGTTGGGCCTGGGAAGCCTGGGACACTCGGGGCACCAGCTTTGCACGGGCCTTCCCTGAAGCCGTGCTTTCTCCGTCAACGGTGATTCCCTTGGTCCTGGACTGGGAGGGGAACCCGCTCAGGTCGTTGGTCTGTCTGCGCTGCTTTGCTTAACCTCACGGCGCAAGGCAGGACATTGAGAGGAAGCAAGGCAGCCTGGGCAAAGAACTCAAGCACACAGAGGACAATAGGAACATACCCTACTGCAGGGTTATTCTAGTTTTGGGGTGAACTATTTTGACCTTCAGTGCCACCTGACAGAAAACTGCATGCCAGGAAGGGAACACAGCTGTACAGGATCTGATCTGTGAAACCTAGAAGGTTTGCTAAGAGACTACGAACATGTACTCTCCTGCCAGTCCCAAAATCCTATATAGGAGCCCACGGTTCTTCCGGTTAGCTTTTCTTCAGCTTCATCACCAGCAGCAGAATGGTGTGTTCTGTGATGTCATTCTGCAGGCCGAAGGTGAAGCAGTCCCAGCTCACTGCTGCATCCTGTCAGCCTGTAGCCCCTTCTTCACAGAGCGCCTAGAACGAGAGAGGTCAGCTCAAGGTCAGAAGGTGGTTCTGGAGCTGGGGGGTCTGAAGATCAGGACACTTAGGAAGCTGGTGGACTTCCTGTATACCTCAGAGCTGGAAGTATCTCAAGAAGAAGCCCAAGATGTGCTTTCTGCTGCCCGTCAGCTCCGTGTATCTCAGCTAGAATCCCTTCAGCTTGAGGGTGGAAAGTTGGTGAAGGCTTCTCAGGGCGGAAGATTAAACCGAGAGTGCTTACAACTACCAGCTGCTGCACCAGTCTCTGCCAGAATGGTGGTACCCAACCTCCGACCTCAAACTCCATTGCCTACTACCTGGACTCCCTGTCCTCTTGGGGCAGGGAGATTGAACTCATTAGGCAAGGAGGAGGGTTCTCAGGGGAAAACCAACCAAGGGAAGGCAGAGAACTTGTCTGGCACTCTTCTGCTCAAGAGGAAGGCCAGAGCCTGCCCAACTCCACAAGAAAAAAGCTCTTTACCATCAAGCCACAGTCAGGGGCCAGAAAAGAATAAGAATGACCCTGCTGTTGGTCCTACGGCACTTTCTCGACCCAGCTTGTACCCCTCTGTGCATGAGCGACTATCACCCAGAAAGTTCAGGCTGAATCGCTCAATGGTATCTCCTGATATCTATACATTGAATCCTTACAGCATGCTAGGCAGACCCAGCTCAGTGCCTGTAGCCCTTGGCCGGCGTCTGTGGAGGCAGAAGAGTATAAATAAAGAAGCACCAGAGGATAAGCAGAAACTGGGAAGAGTTAGTCCTGTACAGAGCACTCCCAGCCCATGTGGTCTTGGGAAGACAAGTGGGAGTAAGAAGAGAATCCCTGAAGACAGGGCACCTAACTCAAGCTCTGCAGAGGAGGGGCAGGTCGGGAGAGTGAAGCTTCGCAAGATTGTCAAAGAGACCTCTTGGGAGATGGTACAAGAGCCTCCCCTCAAAATCTCTCAGGGTAGCCTCCAGATCCCAGAACCTGGAGGAGACTTAGCAGAGCCTCAGTCTTCTTCTGGACGTCCAGAGCTGGTAAGGAAGGGACCTGTGTTGGATAGAGACTGCAAGGAGCCCTATGCCTTTGACACAACCCTGCTGAGGCAGCCCTGTGAAGCTGAGGAGTACCGAATCACAAGTGCTGCTGCCACCAGTGAGCTGGAAGTGATCTTGGACATCATGTCCTGTGACTCAGACACTGAATCACCTGTGGTGTCTCTGCAGAGTCCTGAAGCTGAGGATTGCAGAACGCCTAGTGACCGCCTGAAAGAAACAGGAAAGTACTGGATTGAAGAGGAAGAATGGTGTTTGCCAGACTTAGAGCTCCAGCCCAGGGAGCTCACAGGTTTGGAAAAGGAACCTGTTGATGAGAACGAAAAGCCAACTGAGCCCCTCAGCTCCCTCGTCATGCCCTCTGAGATGAATGAAGGAGAGGTGCTTTCAGTGGCTGGCTCTTGGATTCCAGACCTTGAAATCACCAGCTACCAGACACTAGATGGTCAGGGAGACAAACTTCTCTACATTGACTCCCTTAACACTCCTCAAAGGTCTTATGAGGACCTCTCACCCCCCTGCTCAAACTGGGCAGATACTGGTCTGGAAGTGTCCCTAACTACGGATGGCGCATTATACCCTGCTACGGAGGCAGACAAGGAGGTATTTGGTAACTCTGGGCTACCGAGCCCACTTCTTGAAAGCTCTGAAGAGGAAGAGGTTGATGTGGAGGGCTGGACAACAGAGGAGGAACTAGTGCCCACTAGTATACCCTCTGTCTGGCCTGACCCTTCCTCAGAGTCAGAAACAGAGATAGATATACTAACATAGTGGAGCGGGTTAGGGGCCCTGAGTAGGTGGGAAGTGTTGGCTAACAAAAGACTTATTGCCAGTGAAGCTAGCATATACTCTCTCCCTTTAGCACAAGAGGCAGGTATAACCTAGGCCAGTGGTTCTCAATCTGTGAGTCTCGACCCCTTTGGGGGTGGAACGACTCTTTCACAGGGGTCGCCTAAATACATTCTGCATATCAGATATTTACATTATGATTCATAATGGTAGTAAAATTACAGTTATGAAGTAGGAACAAAACTAATTTTATAGTTGGGGGTCACCTCAACATGAGGAATTGTATTAAAGGGTCGTGACATTGGGAAGGTTGAGAACCACTTCCCTAGGCTATTTGTAGGTTCCTTCCTCCCCTCCCCCGGCCTTGGAAGCCATGTAGAAGTTAAGAAGTACCATGAATAGAAGAACATTATGAACTTGAACCGTCTTATTTCTTTGTAATCTATTTTCTGTTTAGCGACAAGTGAAATGATAAACTGTATGGTACCCCCCCAATATGAAAAACCTAGTGATGTGTATGACCACAAATGTTGTATGTATACTGAAAAGAGAAAGCATACCTGAGATAAAGTTGACCTAATTGAATGTAGATATACACTTTATCCATGCATTAGAATACTAATTACTGCTAGCATTATCAGTTCTCTTCCAAGTGCATCTGTAGATTAAATGCAATCACAATCAGTACTGTGACAGACATATTTTTGTAAAAATTAATGCATTGATTCTAAAATTCATATGGCAAGTGAAAGAAATTAGAATCACCGAACAATAGAACAAAACATGAGTAATTAACAATACCTGATTTTAAGACGTTAAAAACAGCTGTAAGCTGGATAGGGTTATAGTTGTATTAAGACAGAAAATAGAACAACAGACAGAACAGAGTATCTAGAAATAGTCCCATATACATATTTGTTATTGCTTTCAATTAAAGTACAAAGACAGTTCAGCAGAGGACAGTCTTTTCAAAGAGTGGTGAAGGAAAAATTAGATTTCTATATGCAAAAATAGTAGACTTCTCTCCAAATTTCAAGCAATATACAAATATTAACACAGACAAGAGGCCTAAATATAAAGCCTAGAAATACAAAATTTCAGGAGTGAAGTATAAGAAGAACATGTTTTTACCGTGAGGTATGAAGAATTATACCTCATCAAAATGATATCTGCTCTTTTGCTGTAACTTCTAATAGAGTAAAAAGAGACTCCAGAGACTCATAGAAATATTTTCTATTCATTTGTCTGGTAATTGACTTGCACCCATCATTAAAAACCAAATAAAATTAAAAACAAGTAAAATACCATACAAATGGCATAAGGATGGCAAAAGAGCACAATGTGAACGTGTTCAATGTCACTCACACACAGAATGGCTAAAAATAAAAAAGAGTGGCCATGCTCATGTTTGCAAAGATGTGGAGAACTGTGAACACCCCTACACATATACTATCAATGAGAAGCCTAAATTTCAACATAAATACATTGAGTGAAAGAAAGGAGATAAAAAAAAATTTCATTGATTCCATTCACACAAAACTCTAGAAAATGTGAAATAATTGACAGTGACAAAAATCAGAGAGTGATTGGAGAAAAGGGCATCTGGGAAGGATGTTTCCAAAGGGGCATGAGGAAACTTTTGGGGTGAGGATTGTGTTCATTATCTTGATTACAATATGATTTTATATGTTATATATAGTCAAAAGTTATCAAATTGTATACCTTATGTGTGTGATATTTATTATATGTTAATTATAAATTCATAAGTCTCTTAACATTTCATTAAATATTATTGCAGTTGACTGTTGATTTATTTCCAAAGTACCTAGAAGAGAGGTCGGCTACCAGTAATGGGTTTTAGTGATCTGTGGTTTTAGTTGAGATTAATAATGAAAAGAGCTACTGTAGGTATACATGTATTTTCAGAGGCTTGTTATATGCTAACTTTATTTTTATTTTCAGTTTTTTTATTTTTTTGAGACAGAGCCTCAAGCTGTCCCCCTGGGTAGAGTGCTATGGCATCACAGCTCACAGCAACCTCCAACTCCTGGGCTCAAGCGAGTCTCCTGCCTCCGCCTCCCAAGTAGCTGGGACTACAGGTGCCCGCCACAACACCTGGCTATTTTTTGGTTGCAGCCGTCATTGTTGTTCGGCGGGCCCGGGCTGGATTTGAACCCGCCACCTTAGGTGTATGTGGCTGGCGCCTTAGCCGCTTGAGCCACAGGCGCCGAGCCATATGCTAACTTTATATCACAGGGCACAGTAAACTGTAGCCTTTAAAAATGGTGTACTCAATATATATACTAAATGAAACTTGAAAAAAGGTTTTAAATTTTTCCAAATTTTTATGGTCACAGATACAAAACAGTGTCATGTTTATTATGTGACTCAAGGCAGCTTTTCTTTTTGTTCCTCAAACATAATATCCAATTTTTATAAAGGTAATGTACACTAGTCTTTTAGGTTCTAATCAGTGCAATTAAGACAGCCTAAATTGCAATACTCTGATCCATGGTTTACTGCTGTTCCATTGAATGAGGCTGTTTGAAAATAAAGACTTGCTTCCAAATGCCCGACCTGCAACACAGAAAATGAAGGGTTTCCATATTTACCATTAGAAAGCAGCCTTTTGGGGCCTAAATTAGCAATGATTTAATCTTTGTTCCATCACAGCTAGCAGTCAGCAGGTGCTCAAATCATCTCTCTTGGAAATAAGCTTTCTCCCTTTTATTCATTTCATTCAAATCAACAGACTAGGCTGGCAATATGAAGAGAAATACACTAAGCACCTTAACCTCAAGAAAGTCATAAAAACAAATCAAGTGCCACCCAAGAGGGCTGGTACATGGACTTGAAAGCATATACTTGGAAGGTTCAAAAAAAAAAAAAAAAAGGTGTGGCAGAAACAGTGGCTAAAAGAGCCATGCAGCTTCATCCTCTTTTTTGAAAGTGATTAACTATAATTTCTCACTGTTTAAGACTTATTTTCATTGACAACTGTAATAATAAGTATAAAGAAGGTGGTTCAGGAACCCCGAAGGGAAAGCAAGAATACTTTTAAGTGGAAATAGGATGGAGCTGGTTATGGTTAGTGCTGCAGTTCTTAAAAAAATAACATTTTGGTCTTTATTTTGGCGGATGGGTAGATTTCAGCAAGTATATATGGGAATAAATCCAATATTCTATGTAGTTAAGATAGAAAGAAAATTGATTATAAGGTAAAGGTGTGTGTATGCATTAATGTGTACATTTTATTCTCTCTCAAAGAGTGAGTGGTTACCATTTTGGATTCAGAAATTTGAAAATCTTCTTTTAAAATGTTCGTTGTGTTTCATATGTGGAAGGGTTGAGTGAGAGAGAATCTTCATTATTTAGCCTGAAGATTTATATGTGCATAATTCCCATCATCTAGATTACTTGTCCTTTTTATGACTCTCTTTGTCTTATACATATGAACATAACATAACTATAGAATACAGATATAAATTATAATGGTTTGTAATCATGATATAATAAACTTCTCCTCCATATACTATGTCAGGTGAAGTTTATCATAATGACTATATTCAATATGGCATGGTATTCACATGTATACACATTGGTGTATTTATCTCAGCCACCTTATTAAAATTCTAAGGTATCATCACACATGATTACATATTTGAGAAAGTGCATTTGAAGAAATTAGTGGGACATGCCTGAAACTGTGGTTTCATTAATTTTTAACTTTAAGGCTGAGTTTTGATTAATGTTCACATGTCCTTGAATTCACATGTTAGCCGATGACAGAATCTGACTTTGGAGGTCAAGTGAGCTTTCCAAACTCATGCTTTGCCCAGTAGATACCACCTGAATAATAGTTTTCCTGAATTATTGAGCTTATACTTCATTTAGGAATATGGGACTTCATTTTTAATTTAAATATATATAGTTAATAAATGTAAATTATATATATTAAAGGTGTATGACATGATGATTTGAAAAATTCATACAGTGTGTGCTGAGTACCATAGTCAAATTAATACATCCATCACCATTCATAGTTATTATTTGTGGATTTCATGTGTGTCTATGTCTGTGTCTATGTGATGAGGACACTTGAAATTTGCGCTCTTATCAGATTTCAAGTAAACAATACAGTATTATTAACTAAACTCTCCATGCTGTATGTTAGATACACACAACCTATTCATTTTATAACTGAAAGTTTGAATCCTTTGAGGTATTCCTTTTTACCTCCCTATTTTTTCTCACTCTCTGGCAACCACCATTCTACTGTCAGCGTCTATAAGCACTCTTTTTTATTTTATTTTATTTTTTTTGAGACAGAGCCTCAAGCTGTCCCCCTGGGTAGAGTGCCGTGGCATTACAGCTCACAGCAACCTCCAACTCCTGGGCTCAAG